CAGCACGAGGTTATGGCAGGTGTGGGCGGCAGGCAGGCAGGTGTGCGGCAACAGGTGTGGTCGGCAGTGTGGGCAGCACGTAATATGGCAGGTGTGGGCGGCACGGGCAGGTAATGCAGGTGGGTATAGGTGTGGGAGGCACAGGGCAGGTAATATAGCAGGTGTGGGAGGCACGAGGCAGGTAATATAGCAGGTGTGGGAGGCACAGGGCAGGTAATATAGCAGGTGTGGGTGGTACAGGGCACAGCAGTATGGATGGCACGGGCAGGTAATAGCAGGTGTGGGTGGTACAGGGGCAGGTAACAACAGGTATGGGTGGCACAGGCAGGTAACAACAGGTGTGGGTGGCACAGGCAGGTAATATGCGGGTGTGGGTGGTGCAGGGCAGGTAACAACAGGTGTGGGTGGCACAGGCAGGTAATATAGCGGGTGTGGGTGGTGCAGGGCAGGTAACAACAGGTGTGGGTGGCACGAGGCAGGTAATATAAGGGTGTGGGTGGTACAGGGGCAGGTAACAGCAGGTGTGGGTGGCACGAGGCAGGGTAATATAGCAGGTGTGGGTGGTACAGGGCAGGTAACAGCAGCAGGGTATGGGTGGCACAGGCAGGTAATATAACATGGGGCAGGTGTGGGCAGGTAACAGCAGGTATGGGTGGGCTGTTGGTTTGCCATGCAGATAAGCTGTGATGGATTCAACTCAGATGTGTCGACTTTGATGTTGGCTAAGACAGGGCGGCCTGTGAGTCTCAGCAGATAACAGGTAGACAGTCACAGTCATGGGGGGACAGTACAGTCATGTCAGTCATGGGGAGGGAAATTGTACAGTCATGGGGGAGAATTCAGGTACAATCATGGGGGACAGTACAGTCGTGGGGAGGGAAGTCATTACTGTCATGGGGAGGGACAGTACAGTCGTGGGGCAGGAAATCAGTACAGTCATGGGGGAGGGACAGTACAGTCATGGGAGGAAGTTAGTACAGTCATGGGAGGAAGTCAGTACAGTCATGGGGAGGGCAGTACAGTCATTGGGGAGGGACAGTACAGTCATGGGGAGGGACAGTACAGTCGTGGGGCAGGAAATCAGTACAGTCATGGGGGAGGACAGTACAGTCATGGGGAGGGAAGTTAATACAGTCATGGGGAGGAAGTCAGTACAGTCATGGGGGGGACAGTACAGTCATGGGGGAGGAAATCAGTACAGTCATGGGGGAAGTCAGTACATTCATGGGGGAGGGGACAGTACAGTCATGTGGGAGGGGGCCAGTACATTCATGGGGAGGAAGTCATTACTGTCATGGGGAGGGAAGTCAGGTACAGTCATGAGGGAGGAAATCAATTACAATCAGAGGGGTATAGTCATGGGGAGGGACAGTACAGTCATGTGGGAGGAGGGGGCCAGTACAGTCATGTGGGGGAGGGGGCAGTACAGTCATGTGGGGGAGGGCACAGTCATGGGGAGAAGTCATTACTGTCATGGGGGGGAAGTCATTACTGTCATGGGGGAGGAAGTCAGTACAGTCATGAGGAGGAAATCAGTACAATCAGGGGAGTATAGTCATGGGGAGGAAGAGTACAGTCATGGGGGAGAAGTCCAGTACAATCAAGGAAGTCACAAACCCTCATGACATCATCGTCTATTCTCTCAGCTTCAAGGATCAAGACAAGTCATGTTGGGGTCTTTGTTTACAGCAGAATTAACATCTGGTGGAAGGAAACTTGAGAGAGTGTGTTTTAATGTGAGGGTGGTGAGAGTGTGGTGGTGTGAGGATGGTGAGGTGGGGTGGTGGTGTGAGGGATGGTGAGGAGGGAGTGTGGTGGTGTGAGGGATGGTGAGGAGTGTGGTGTGAGGGTGTGATGGAGGGAGTGTGGTGGTGTGAGGGATGGTGAGTGTGGTGGTGTGAGGGATGGTGTGTGGTGGTGTGAGGGTGGTGGGGTGTGGTGGTGTGAGGGATGGTGGGGGTGTGGTGGTGTGGGGGTGTGAGGGGATGTGAGGGTGTGGTGGTGTGAGGGTGGGGGTGGTGTGGAGGTGGTGGTGGTGTGAGGGATGGTGGGTGAGGTGTGGTGGTGTGGGGGGTGTGGTGGTGTGGGGATGGTGGGGTGTGGTGGTGTGAGGGATGGTGAGGGGGGTGTGGTGGTGTGGGGAATGTGGTGGTGTGAGGGATGGTGAGGGGGTGTGGGTGGTGTGAGGGGGTGTGAGGGAGGTGGGGTGAGGGATGGTGATGTGAGGTGTGGTGGTGTGGGGGGGTGTGGTGGTGTGAGGGATGGTGAGGGAGTGTGGTGGTGTGAGGGTGTGTGGTGGTGTGGGGATGGTGAGAGGTGTGGTGGTGTGAGGGATGGTGAGGTGTGAGGGATGGTGGGGGGGTGTGGTGGTGTGAGGGATGGTGAGGGAGTGTGGTGGTGTGAGGGATGGTGGGGGTGTGGTGGTGTGAGGGATGGTGAGGGGTGTGGTGGTGTGAGGGATGGTGAGGGGTGTGGTGGTGTGAGGATTGTGAGGTGTGGTGGTGTGAGGTGGGAGTGTGGTGGTGTGGGGATGGTGCAGGGGGTGTGGTGGTGTGAGGAATGGTGAGGGGGTGTGGTGGTGTGGGGGATGGTGAGGGGTGTGGTGGTGTGAGGGATGGTGAGGGGTTGTGGTGGTGTGGGTGTGGTGTTTGTGAGGGATGGTGGGGGGTGGTGGTGTGAGGGGGGTGTGGTGGTGTGAGTGTGGTGGTGTGGTGGTGGGGGTGTGGTGGTGGTGGGGGTGTGGTGGTGGCAGGGCAGGTGTGGGGGATAACGGTCATCGGTGCTGTGGAGCTTCTCTTCACGCCATCCAAGCCATCTGCCCACATCACCACGACCACCCCACCCACAGCACCCATGACCTCACCACCACAGCACCGCACCTATCACCACCTACCCACACCACAGCACCCGACCTCCCACCACAACACCCTGACCTCCCACCCACCACAGCACACAGACACCACACCACCATGACACCACCCATGACCACCCACCCACACCACAGCACCCACAGCCACACCCACACAGCACCCACCTCCCACCCCACCAGCACTCACGACCCCTCCCACCCCAGCTCCACCACCCACCCGCCATCATGATCTTCCACCCACACCACAGCACCCATGATCTCCCACCCACACCACAGCGCCCAAGACCTCCCACTCACACCACAGCGCCCTCGACCGCCCGCCCGCCCGCCCGCCCGCCCATCCATCCACATTCGTTCGTTGGTAACATAGAAATACTCCGCGTTGTTGTAGACAGACCGTGACGAGTCTCTGGTGGTCACAACTTTAATTAAATATATGAGAGGACGGCCCAGCTCCTGGTTGGTCGGGAAGCTGAGGGTGTACGGGACTCACCAACCTCATCCAAAGTGGCGCAGGTGAAGGTTTAAATGATTGTAGCCGAGTATTGTGATGTAATGGTTGTGGTAGCAGCATACTTGTGCCCATAGCGTAGCGGGCGAGGATCCAAGTACAAGGGCACGAGCTTGGCACTGCGGTGTGGGCTCAGTGGGTGATGCAGGTTCGAGAGTGTCGCCACTGCCCACATAGCAAGCACAACACTGACGGCCAACTGCTGCCCAAACCCCCCAGGTGTGCCTCACAGTGTGGCCGCCCATCTGTTACAGGGTGCGGCTTGGTGTAGGCAAGACCTAGTGGAGTGGCTGTGTCTACAGTACACTGCTCGTCTCTGTGTAGCCATGGAAAGGGTGTTGTGGTGGAGGACCTGGGTGTAGCAACACTCGCCATGATATTTACCTCTTAAAGATACTGTGAGAATGGTAGTGTGGGGTGGCAGTGGACACCCCCTCAGCGTGTGGCGCCCCCGAAACTCACGCCACGGACGCTAACCAACCTTCTGTCGAAACAGTCACAAAACTACTTGACTTAGCTTGGCTGGCCGCCCTACTCACAGGGACAGTGGACGTGTACGTCCAGCATGAGGAGTAGTAGCCGGGGTGGGCGTACAGGCGACGAACCGCCCACTTCTGTTCTCCACCGCCCACCGCCGCCATGTTCTCCATCGCCGCCACAGTGCTTCCGATTGTACGTGGCTCTATCCTCCTGTATTAGTCACTGTACTCGAGAATCATTAGTGTCCATATACAGGTCTTTTGATGAGTGGACAAAACGTTAATTAATCCCTTACTTATATTTTGTTGTTGTATTCTTTCTTTTATCTCTGCTTCGTCTCAGAGAATTATTCATTCACTTGTCTTTTACATTGTACTGATAACTGGACCTGTTATGTGTATTTCACATTCCTCCGTGTTTACTCTTGGGAGTGAAGGCTGGCAGGCCAGGTGTACACAACACTGTGGTCACCTTTACTTGACACTTAAGTTACTCCTCCCAGCCTCCCGTGTCCACACCACCTATTTCACCATTACTCCCTGTTTATAATCCTATAATTTTTAATATATAGATTATGAAAGGCATGGATGAGAGACCATTTCCTCATAAGTGAGTAGAATTCGTATGGACTCCCTTTAGTTTTCGTCATTAAAAAGTACACCGCCTTCTGAGTGCTGTGTCCTACAGAAATAATAACCGATATGTCAGTGAGCCTTTACGGGTTGGTGCACGCTGTACAGTACTTCACGTTTTCTTAGTTGGTCAAGCGTTGTTGTTGGTTTTTTTTTTTAATTGAAGTTTAGATGCTCTCATTTGTCATCACTGTCTACAGTATAGTTTCATCCTACCATGTTGTCCAAAGCTAAAGGTGACTAGTATTATTTGTATCTCTTTCCGAAGTGAACATGTGTAGTGTAGGTGGTGTTATCCCTGGTGGTGCCCAGAACCACTATATACTGTACAAGACTGTATGATGGCGGGGACACACCTTTTTGATAGTGTGGGCTGTCTGTACGACACAGCAGGTCAGTGTGAGACTCCCACGCTCACCTTTCCTCACCTTCCCTCACTCTCCTCTAGTGTCCTGTGACCTTGTAACAGTAAAAGTTGATAGTTGTGTGTTGGTTTGTTTGTCCCCAGCTTTCCGCCATCGAGGCCGACGGAGACAGAGAACGCAGAGCCTCGTTCGACCCATTGCTGGTAAGGGAGAAAGACAGCGGATGATTAATAAGATGTAACCTTTTGTGGTCCTTGTTTGGTGCCTGTTGCGTGTTGAGTTATTCCTGGGTGTGCTCTAGTTACTCCGCCACGTGTTGAATGGATAATAATGTACTTGTCGACGGCATCTTGTCCTTCTCATGTGGAGACGTGTGAGTGAAGGTGGGAATGTTACCTATTAAGACTGCATTACTGGAGGTTAGACCTCATCATCACTGGTTCTTGGGAGGAAGCAGATGAGAAGTGGCGTGCTAGTGTGTTTTGTATTGTTGACCCTACCTCATGCAGACTAGTGTTAAGTAGCGGCTTTAGTGGATGAACTTATTGTAAGATAAGTCTTGCCTCAACTGTAAGTACCACTGTTAAAGCGTTACCCTACCCTGTGTCCATTAGTTACCATCATGTGGAACCACAACACCTGTTGTGTATACTGTACAACCTCCCGGCTTAAATTCTAATACCCTGCTTGTCTAAATACAGGTGCACTACTTAATTCGGATCACTTGAAGATCAAACACCCCGTCTTACTTCACCTGATGATTGAACACCCTAACGCTACTTGGGGATTAGGTTATCGTTAAGGTGGTTAATCTTAATGTAAAATAAGCTGGAGTGTAATATTCGAGTCATCTCAAAATTCAACTTCATCATGTCTGGTATACTGACCTTGTGGGCTACAGCTTTTATCTAGACCTTAATGATTGTTGAGCAGGTAGTGTGTGTGTGTTGTTGTCCTGCGTAAGCAGTGTTGTGATGTGACAGTACTGTATTAAGTAGGCAGTGTGAATGTGCGGTAATGCCCCTGCAGTAGTATATGTGGGTGAGGGAGAGACCTCCAGCCACTGACTCACACCATGTTTGTTCACCTGCCAACATTATTGCTTACAAAGTGTCCTTCCCAACGCCCACTCCCTCCATCACACCCACATCGTCCACCACACCCCAAGGCCTGTTTACCTTCCCTCTGTCTCCATCACCTTCTATAGCCCGCCCCTCTCACACCTATTGTTATAAGTACAGTACTTTATATGGCTCTCTCTCTCTCTCTCCACTGCAGGGGAAACTTGTCATCGGCAGGTCATAATTATATGAATAAAACATATTTGAAGTACTGTGCTCGTTATATTGAAAAATAGAGGGAAGTTTTGTTCAATAGTATTTGACCAAAACTTCCCTCTACTTACGACACCGGTTGATTTATCTCCCAAGTTCCTTGTAATACTAATGGTGATTATAATGTTACCAATACTAGCATAATCATTATGATAATTATACTAAATCTAAAATATTAATTATAATAATAATGATAATAAGGTACTAAACTAATAAAAATAATAATAATGTACTAAAATAATAATAATAATAATCCCTCAACTCCTGGGCATATCTGTAATTGTCTTGGTACATCATTGTGTGTGGGGCTTTATTAGTCATTGTGGGGGGCTTTATTAGTCATTGTGGGGGCTTTATTAGTCAGTGTGTGTGGGGATTTATTAGTCAGTGTGTGTGGGGATTTATTAGTCAGTGTGTGTGGGGCTTTATTAGTCAGTGTGTGGGGGGCTTTATTAGTCAGTATGTGGGGGCTTTATTAGTCAGTGTGTGTGGGGCTTTATTAGTCAGTGTGTGGGGGAGCTTTATTAGTCAGTGTGTGGGGGCTTTATTAGTCAGTGTGTGTGGGGCTTTATTAGTCAGTGTGTGTGGGGCAGTCAGTGTGTGGGGGGCTTTATTAGTCAGTGTGTGTGGGGCTTATTAGTCAGTGTGTGGGGAACTTTATTAGTCAGTGTGTGGGGGAACTTTATTAGTCAGTGTGTGGGGGAACTTTATTAGTCAGTGTGTGGGGCTTTATTAGTCAATGTGTGGGGGCTTTATTAGTCAGTGTGTGTGGGGCTGTGGGGCTTTATTAGTCAGTGTGTGGGGCTTTATTAGTCAGTGTGTGTGGGGCTTTATTAGTCAGTGTGTGGGGGGAGCTTTATTAGTCAGTGTGTGTGGGGCTTTATTAGTCAGTGTGTGGGGGGAGCTTTATTAGTCAGTGTGTGGGGGAACTTTATTAGTCAGTGTGTGGGGGGAGCTTTATTAGTCAGTGTGTGTGCATGTGCTGGGGGGCTTTATTAGTCTGTGTGTGTGTGTGTATGTTATTATGAGTCAGTACAGTATGCAATGTACAAAGAGCGGTGTCATAAGGAACTGTGAGATATGTTCAATTTACTAGATTATGCTGTATATTCTTAAGGCCAAGGGGAGGAGGTGGTATGTGAGGCTCATGAGCTAACAATACCCTGGCCAGCAGTTGTTGAGATCCCTTGGTCACAGCCGATCCATCTCTCACACTTTTGTACTGTTGTTATGATTATTTTGCTCTGGTTCTCTTTTTACTACTGGAAGGTGACTATTTTTGTTCAAGGCATTTTATCTTACAGTGCCTCTTTTTAGCAAACTTGTTTATATTCACCTTGAAGTTATTGTAGAAGATATTTGGTAACAATTATGAAGTTTTTAACCATAGGTCTTACAGATCAAATGTACTCAATTTTTACTGAATTCTGATTATTGGTCATCATTCCTTAAATTCAGGTTTTGAGTCTCATTTGCATACACTGTGAAAGACTGTTAAAATTGACTTTATAATACATTTACGTAATAATATTAATTACTGTATGGTGTTGCTCTCATGTGTTTCAAAATTTATTACCATTACATACTAAATGTTAGTGTTATCCTTCCTACCTCACAGCTGTAGCCTCATGTCTAGTGATTCATAGACCCTTCACTTGTCCCTCCCAGTTATTGTCAGATTGAGTCACTTTAACCTTGTCTGGACAGAACCAAGCCATGATTCTTTATGAGATTTCTGATGATAATGTACGTGTTGCTTCATCACGTTTTTCAGTATGTTTATGACTGTGATGGTTGTTGTGATTTGGTTCATATGTTTGACCTTCCTCATCTGTTCTTGTTTAACATTAAAATTTTTTGGGCCATGCCGCAAGTGATTATATTTAAGGCGTTTAAGAAGCACGGAATAGCTAAAGCGTTAGTTTTCCCGGACTATCATTAAAAAATACAACATTGTCCTGCATCTTGGGAATAACTGTTGTACAACACAGTCTTCAGAAAACAATAAAATTAGGAGAACTGTTATTTGGACACAATTCGGAAAGAAATAGTGAAGAAAATATATAGAAAATTATGGAAAGAAAATCAAAAAAGGAAGAAAAAAAAGCAATTCAGTCAACAATAAATAAGAATAACACTAAAAATCGGGCCCGTTGTAAAGAGGATGGTCTGGACTCCGGGGTGGGAGCTTTCAACCACACCACAGCATACGCTCTCGTCTCGCAGCTACATTGTTTACAGCTGTTCGCATACATAAACACGCAATATGACGAATTTGAGGGTCGTTTTCATTTTTAATTCTTGCATTTACAGAACTTTAATCAACTTGTTCACCCATATTTAAAGCATCTTATGAGTAATGATGTTAAAGCTTTAATCATATTTGAGTAATTAGCAATAATTTACACAAAATTCACCAGTGACTAATGAAATCAGACAGCACCCACGTAAAAATGGGCGGAGCCAAAAGTGGTTTCAACTTGGCTCAATTCTTTTTATTTCTTTCACGCCATATGCTTTGCCTTAGGTATTATACAATATGCTACCGTATATAGAATTATTTTTATTATTATATCACAGTTTTTTATTGCCTTACATGCCCCCAACTCTTCAATATTAATCAAAATATTCTCCATAAGCGGCCAAGATTCGTGTATTTGCACAGTGTATACGTTGGAGAAACTCTCTGATTGGTTATTAGCTATTTGGGCACCTCTGCCCGCTGCAAACGCAAATGCCTGGTCGAGGCGTTTGCTCTTCCCTCTAATTTTCCCTGCGCACAACCCTAAAGCAGCGTCTGTGCATACGGAATAGCTAACGCGTTAGCCAATACGTAAATCTAAATCGCCTTACAAGAAACGCCTTTAGTAACTGCTGTGTTTGTTTGTCTAATCTTTTATTCATAAATTCATCCATTCACATGGTTTCTTAATACAGTAAGAATTTTAGAGTCCTGCAATACTAGTTTGTTTGTTTGTTTGTTTATTCTGTCACAAGGCATTGCATGAATTTGTGTTATATCAGCCTCATCAAGGAAGTAACTCAGTGCATCATCATATATTTTTAAGAAGGATGAGAGTACCTTTCTACAGTACAAGCCTCTGTTTACCTCTCTTTTCCATCAACAAAATGCTATCAGACTGCCTGGGTCCATGTACACAGTGTAGTTGTTTCTCATACAGTATCTGTATTTCTGGGGGCAGGAGATTCAGAATGTCATCATAAAGTCCACTAACATTTGTTGTGTGGATATTTTACCATATGTGTGTGATTGTGTTGCACTGTACACTTCTGTACTGTACTCACAATAACACCGTCTGGTGACAACATTCATAATTTATTTATAAGCATTATATTAAGAACATTGTCACAGACTTTAATGTACTGTACATTATTCACATTTGTTGCATGATTGATTCACTAGAGAATGTAATTGGTTGATTTTAGAATTACACATGCTTGCATGTGGCACCTCAGAAGTTTGGTGTTTGGCATCTTGTTATGAGGTATTGCTTGTGATTGTGTTCCAGCCTCTCACACTCAGTGGGGGCATTACCAGATGGCCAAAAAATATATACTGTGGCAGGGCCATACTGTATATATTTTTAAGCAAAGATAAAGGTACAGCTTTCCAGCTGTGTTACTTTCTTAGTAACTTAGTAATTATGGTTAATCCCACTGTATCCCTTATTTCACTTAACATTTCAAACTTCTTTTTGCTATTTCTTTTTATTCTATTGTAAAGTATTGTACACAGTAAGTTTAAAAGTTTTCAACTTCTTTAGTAAGCTTCTCAATATCACTTTCATCTTTGGTAGATTTCATGCTATTTATTCAGCTTCTTGGGGATACAAATTATTAAGTAGAATTTAAAGACTGATGAACACCATACCCACAGCTGGATGACTTGAGTTCGGACAGTGACGACGAATACTTCGATGTTGTGGCCGTGCCAGGCCTTCGGCCCCAACCGCTGGCCACTCAGAACCCAACCAAGCCTTCCACTGCAGTGCATCCTCAGAAGCAACAACATATTCAACCCCCTCACATACCACCTACACATAGCCAAAGTTTACCAGCTGTAAACAAAGGCATGGTTGCTAGGAGAATGGGAAGTACTCCAGGCCAGCCAGTAGGTACAGCAGTAGTAAACAAACCATCAGAAACTAAAACAGCAGTAAACAAAACGACACAAGATTCATCAGCATCACCTGCAGCTGTTAAACCAACAAGCCCTGTTGATGTTAAGTTAACAAATAGCTCAGTGCAGTATATTCCGTCATCTGCTAGAATTTCTGGTATTATAGAAGACCAATCCCATGAGAAGGCCAAAGTGTGTGTGCCTAGTAAAGTTGGTGTAAGTGCTAGGAAGGAAGGTTTACAAAACTCACCCAAGAAATATCAGGCACCTCAACCTCCCTCAGCTACTAAGCATCCAGAAGGCAAACAAAGGACAACCATACCAGATAAAGAAGAATCGGCTTTACCCAATATGGAACAGTCTACTGCACCAGATGTAGGAACAAAGGTTTTACCAAATAAACAGAATCATACTCTCTTGGATAAACAAAAACTTACACTACCAGATAAAAAACCTCCAGATAAAGTAGCAGCAGCTCACGAATCACAGGTCAACACTACATTGAATAAACAGGCCTCTGGGCTAGCCTCTCCAGAGTGTAATTCACATGAAACACCCACATTACCTTCCATTAAACCTGCTAACAAAGAAGGCAATCCAGCTGTCACAGGGAAAGATAAAGCCAGTGGTTCACTCTCATCCTCAGAGCCATCAGGTGCCCACCAGACAACAGTTTCTCCTCATTTACCACCAGACAAAACAACAGCAAAGACAACGCAGCTGCTTAATGGTGACCAGAAGCCTCACACATCACCTGTAGGTCGAAAAGTACGTGCTGGAAGTCCCGTCCCGGATAACACTGCAGTTGTGGGTATCAAATTAGCACCAACTGTGGTAACTGGGAAATTGGAAATTGCTGCAAGTGATGGTTCTGCAACTGTGAAAGAAGATTCCTTTAGTGAAAATAAAGTATCATCACATACCAAAGTAAAAGGCTCTGATGGAGTTGCAGAACCAAAGGATAACAGCACATCAAGTAAACAGTCAAGTGTTGAGAGTAATCAACAAAGAAACAAAGAATCTGTTAAAGTTGACAGCGTAACGAGTGAATCCTCATCAAGGGAGAGTGAGAAAAAATTGGCAAATGGCATAGTGGTAGATAACAATGTTAAGAAAGATAAAGTTAGTAGTAATGATAAATATCAAAATGAACTCCAAACAAACAAGGTGCCCATAAGTAAGGACAGAGAGAATGTTGTCAACCATGTTCAGAGTGAGAATTCAAAAAATACAGGTATAAAAAATAAAAGAAATGCAAAAGACGATGAATTTAACATTGATAGAAGCAGCAGATGTAGTTCAGTGGCAAGTGATGCTTCACGTGCAGTTTCTCCTGACATTTCACTGAGATCTGGAGCTAAGCGAAGCAGGAGTGGGAAATTAGCTGCTGTTGTGAACATGTGGGAGACTGATGAAGTTTCACAAAAAAGTGAAAAGGTAAAATCTAAATCATCTACCCCAAAGATTGGTAAAATCTCTGGTCTGGCAAGTGTATTTGAAGGAGAGAAAAGTGCCACATCAGCCAAGGTTGATGTTTCCAAAAATTTTAATAAATTAAAATCTCCATATAGTCCGCCATTTTCACCAGAGAGAAAGCCGATTGAAACGAAGGTTTCCAATATTGCTGGCATCAGTACAGCTAAATTTGGTGATGTTACAAAGTTTAAAAAGCCAAGTGAACCCAGGAAGACGGTAAATAATAAGAATGCACCAGATACTGAAAAAACGAAAGTGGTAGATAAAGAAGCAGTAAAGGATAAGGATCCTAACAAAAAGAGTGATGATGAAAAAAAAGAGAATGATATTGGTAAAAAGACTGGAGAACCAGTTGTCCCTCATAAAAATCAGAAGGAAGAGAATCGTGAGAAGCATAATGATGTCCAGAAGAGTGGTACAACTGCAGTAAAAGAATGTGGTGAAAAAATTGCCAATGGAGATATAAACTTGGGTGATAGTAGCATATCAGTTGAAGAAGAAAGCAAGGAAAAGAAGAGGAAAAAGAAGATTAAACCCAGTACAACATCCAGTGAAGCAGTCGTCAGTACAGCTACAGAGAAGATTGCTGATGATGCATTACTCAAAGGAAGTTCTGCTGAATCCAAGTCTACTGTTGATAAAGACATTAAAGCTGCCAAAGTTAAAGATACTGAATCTGAAGTCTTCAAAAATAAATCTAAGAACGCTGAAGCTAAGGCTACTGAATGTAAGGACACCAAGGTCAAGGCTGCAGATTCAGTGAATGCCCAAGTGGAATCTGTTGGAACTAAAGACATTAAGGTTGAGTCTGCTGGATCTGTGGATGCTACAGTGAAGGATACAGGATCAAAGGGCACTAAGAATGAGCCTACTGAATCCAAGGACTCCATAGTTAAGGTTATCAATTCTGAGGACACTAAAGTTATGTCACCTGGAGCTAAGGATGTCAAACTCAAAGCTGCTGAAGTAAACAATGCCAAAATTGAGAGCACTAAGACCACTGAAATAAAAAAGGATGAATGTGAAGCTACTAAGGACAAGGTTACCGAGTCTAAGGTCACCATAGTTAATGGTACCGAGTCAAAGCCCACCAAAGACAAGGATAATGAATCTAAGGTCATCAAAGTGAAGACTGCTGGAGGTGAAATAAGTCGTATGGAAGCAACTGCCACAGAGATAACAAACATTAAAGTCACTGATGCTAAAACAACCAGTGTTGAAGCCACAGTTAGTAAAACAACCACAGGTGAAGCCACTATTGAAAAGACAAATAAAACTGAAACTATTGATGCAAAGGCTACTGGTGTTAAACTGATTGATGACAAGTCAACCAGTGTAAATACCATTGAGGCAAAGATAAGCAGTGCTATACCTTCAGATACAAAGAGAACCAGTGTTGATTCTACTGGTGTAATAGCAAACAAAACCGAATCAACTAAAACTGAAGCTAATAATACTCAGGTAGATAAAACAGGAACGCCCAGTTGTGTGAATACAGCAGTAGAAGTCATGACCATGAATATTAAAGATAGTGGTTTAAATGCTGCCCCTACAGGTTTATCTAATGAAGCTAAATTAAACACCAGTATATCCCCTGTTAGTGCTCCAGTTTCAGAAGCGGTTGCTGCTTCTGATACCTGTTCTGCTAAGGAAAATGAAGCCACTAAATCTAAAGAAACTGTAAATAAAAAAGAAGTACCAAAGAAAGATATGTTAGGAGGTATAAAGTCTTTAATGGAAACTGTAGCAAAGAGTGGTAAAACTTTGGAAGACAAACTTTCCATAAATGGTCTGCAGTTTGGAAAGAAATCCTCAAAAACAGAGACTCCAAAAGAGATGATTCAGACCCAGTCTAAGAACATTGATGAAGTTATTGAAAGAGCATCTAAAGCACTTCCTGAGCTTGAAACAGAAGTGGAGGCCCTGATAAAAGAAGCATCGATTCTCATTGCGAAAAATGAATTACTTACTAATCCATCCACATCAGCAGCTTCAAATGCAGCAATATCACGGGCTGACAAACAGTCCAAGATTGGAAAGCATCGTTCAACAAGCTCAGGTGAAGAAGGAGAAGACGAAGTTTATGTGGATGCAATAGATCCCTCTCAGCTAGATACCCTGATGCCTCTTCCTGTTGTGGATAATGAAAGGGAGCGGCGTTCACGTTCACACACTCCTCTGGAAGGTCCTGAGAGGTCTCCATCATCTCGATCCGTCGTTGCAAAAACTGAAGCCATTCTCTCCGAAACTGATCGAATTCTCCGTAGGTCCCGCTCTGACAAGTCTCTGAGAAGGTCTTACAGCCGTACAATGTCTGCAGCAGCACTTCACAAAGTAGGTCTACTGAAAAATTGTGACCCCGTGATGTGAGAAACCCCTTGTGGTACATCCATGTCTTAGCAAAGTATGTTGCAGATTACCTCACCTTCTTTCCCATTTTACTTTGTGTTTTGCACGAGTGTTAACCCCTATTGTTGTCTAATCTTGAATTGTGAATCGTGAACATTTAACTTTCTATAAAGTAGTCAATGGATCAATTCTCTTACACCTGAACGATTGGATATCCCTTTTTTTTGTTTAGAATAAGTTTACAACATGTGAATTTTTCTTGTCCCTTCCAGTCAGCGCAGTTGGTATTAGAGGCCAAATGTGAACTTCAAACATGTGGATTGGTATGCAGTGTAAGTGGTGTTGTGAACCACTCACGCGAAAGACAATACTGTATCAAGATTGTTATTATTTTCACTCATTACAGCACTGCTCCCTGTACAGGCATTTGAGGCTCTACTGCATTTTTAGTTTTGAATGCTGAATATGCAATAATAATGCTGTCTTGGTCTCATATCCATTTATGCACTTTGGTGATTTTATGATTTTATTAATGTTCATATTGTACTTGTTTCCATTACTGTGTCTCAAGCTGGCTAGCTTAGTCACTGTACATAATCAAGCTTTTTTTTTTTTTTACAGGAGTTATACATAGCTAATTCCCCACCCCCCCCTTTTTTTTACTGTATCAGAAGTTTATTAGTTATTATCTGATATATTAATAACAAATTAATTTTTTAATTATGTTTGCTATTAACTTGTATTGATTAATTAAACACATTTTAAGTGGATGTTCTTATTTTTCATTTAGGCAGTACTGTATTCATGAAAAATTTCTGAGTTCTTTCCAGTGTTACATTAATATATTGTACTGTACCAAGATACTGTAACTTAGATGCAAACTGCAGTGCAATGATGTACTGTATAGTACAGTAGGTTAGAACTGCAGGTACAGTACAGTACTGTGATATTTAGTTTGCTTGCATAAGCAAATTATAAATAACTGTTCTGTAAGTTTAACACAGTCACTAGATACATCTATTGATTTTTGTGTGATACCACAACAAGCCATTAGTGTGTGTTTATTGTGTTCAGTGTAGTCATGTACACCACAACGCCACATAATGCTAATGTGATGTAATTTTTTTTCTTCTCTTTTTTACTTCTGAAACATTTATATACAAAATAGTATCTTGTACTAAATTAAAACAATATTATGCAGCTGGCAGAAGTGACAGCTGATCTGTCAGAAGAACACAGCACAGCACATTTGGCAGGGGAGAGGCTCGAAGCAGAGCAAGCTGAGAGGATGAAGCTCGAGAAGGAAGTTGAGAGACTCCAGGTAAATTTTGTTAAGTATATTACTGTACATGAATTGGGGATTTTGTTTTTTACATTTTTTTTCTTTTTTTATTGGAGCAACATTTCCTCTTTGTACTATACATACATGTGTGAGGTTGCAGATGAAGTTACACATAAATTACTATTGGCACTACACAAAGTAAACTAAGCAAACTCAACTTAACTATACTTAAATTATTGAAAAAACTAACATAAGATTGTTCAGTTTAGTCAGGTTTGGTTGGTTCAGTTTGTCTTCTGTTATTTATTATTATGTCCTATTGTCTTGGATCCAGATGGTGGTCCATGTGTCCTATTGTCTTGTTAAAATTGTTTTCATACGTCCAGTCTCAAGTTTTTATTTTATTTTTTCCTATCTCCAAAACCAGAATCATGTTTTATTCATTAGAAGGAACAAGTTAATAAGAATTTTATAGTCTTTCAACAGTGGGGTGGTAGTGTGAGTAGTAGTGAAAGACCCTTCCCAAACGTCAGTTATAAGGTGTGCAGACCTTCCAATTATGTCTCATTGAAGGAATACACAAACAAATGTTAGTGAAGTAAATGAAAATTTAGAAAAAAATTATCTTCGATGTAGAAAAATTGATTAAGTTGACATTTTTGTCTTATTCTATTATTTATTACAGTATTTTTAAAGATTTTAAGCATTGTGGAAGGTCACACTCACTCTGTTTGGACTTAGGAAATAGTATAGTACTATACTATATTATAGTGTACTGTACAGTATAGTTTAGATATCTTAAGTTTCTGTTCCTTAATGTGCAGAGTATATCTTCACTTAAGATCTTGTTTACCGTAATTGTTTTGGCAAAGTTTGATTGATTGTCATTGTATTGTGATATTAGAAAATTGTAAAAGTTAACTTTTTCCCTTCTCACAGACGGATATGAGGCACATGACAACAGCCAATGGGAAGCTGGAGATGGAAAAACAAGCATTGCGCTCAGAAGTTCTTTCAGTGGCTGACTTCAATGGCGATGCCGACCATGATGAAGATGATGCTGCAGAAGCCTCTCTTTATAAACGCAAGTATGAATGGTGCCTCAGAGAAATTGAACTCCTGAAGAAGCAGCTCAAGCAACAACAAGAGGATGACCTTGACCACTTACTCCTCATGAAGAAACAGCTAGAGAAAAAGGTGTGTTGATTATATATTGATATTAACAACAAATAAAGTAACACCTGTAACATATGTCAGTCATTTATGATGTTATTATTTAGAAAGCTTTCTTTAAATACTTTACCCACTTTTATTATTATTAAATGTATTTCTCATTACTGATAATATTAATTTCAGTTATCAGATGCTTATGAGGAAACTGAAGAACAACGACAGGTTGTGGCTCAGATGAAGCGCAAGTCTCAGCGATTACAGGCAGAATTGAATGACCTTAAGATATTACTTGAAGAACAAACCTCTCGGAACAATTTGCTGGAGAAGAAACAAAGAAAGTAAGTTTCAGAGATTCCCATTAAGTTTATTTAAATGTGATTATCTGGGTTCAGCCTAGAAATAGGTAAATGAAGTCCAGTGACACACAGTAACAAATTCCTCTGAGTCATTTTGGGTTGCAGATACTGTACAGTACTGTATTTTGAATCTTATCGTGTCACTATTTTTAAATACCGGGTACTAGTTCATTGAGCAGTGCTGGAATTACTTCTGAACTCACTTACATTATCATCATAGCTTACATTAGGTACCACATTTTCGTGTGGAGTTTGTCTCTCATGTATATGCTTTTACACCACTGTAGTATCGCACTAAGGTTTTGGTGTGCTACATGTACTGACTTACAAGGATGTTAGCATTCATTTCTGAATAGCCCATACATATTAAGAAGTACCATATTTTACAACATATAAGAAGCACTTTTTTGTCTGGAAAATGGCTAAAAAAAAATCAGCCTGCAACCTACCATGTGAAGTTGAGGTCTCCCGTATGCGAATGAATCCCCACCAGTTGCTCTCTCTAGTAGGTTAAATTCTACCTAGCCCAACTCCATATTTAAAAATATGTTCTTGCTTACTTAAACACATTATTATTATTTTCAATTAATTAAAAGAATAATTAATGTAAATATAAAAGCTTAATTTATAACTACTTTACTGATGATGGTAACTTGAGACGATTATACGGCAGACACCCAACTCTTCAGAGGTAGCTGAGCAGTAACCATTTCTAAACTCTTACAAGCATTACAATCTATTAATGCCATACCTGCAACAATTATTTGTAAATGTACAAATACCTGATACAAATGAAAATTTACAGATAACTTTCTTTTCATATTTGCATCTGTTAACATTGCTGGCGGCATTGTAGCCAGGTTAGACTTGTCACTGTAACCAACAGGCTAATGGGCCAAGCTGTGAGGTGTTATAGTTGTTTTTCATATTGTATTTTTGGGTAGGTACACGTAACTTTCTTCATTTTTTTTTACACAGTTACGTGCACACACCTTCCTACATATATACAGTACTGTATTGTGAAAAAGGTTGAAGAAATAATTGTCCTAAGGGCAAACACATAAATGTAATATACTGTACAGTACAGTACGTACATTTCTTTGCACACGAGCTAGCTGGCTCAGTGGGGGAGCGGTAGGAGGTGAGCTGTGCCTGTGTGGGGAGGGAGCGTTGCTAGGGAATCTGCGGAGGTAGCAGTTGCGTTGCTATGGTGAACCAGGGAGTATATGCAAATGGCGACTGTGTTAAACATTCATTTGGCTTTTGTTTACTGGTTTGGCAATACAGTATTTTTCGTTGTAACTTATGTATTGATATTACAGTACAGTTAACCCTCACTTTACGCGGTTAATGTAACCCGGAGGGTACCGCGGAAAGTGAGGAACGCGTAAAGTGAATAACATAACATATGGGATTAATTGAAATGGAGTCCGGGCCGATCCCCAAACTCCACTTTTTGACGACACACAACTATGTTGTAGTAAAAATTTTATCTTAACTTTATGATGGTATGAAAAAACAAGTAATATAGAAGAGGTTAGGTTAGGAAAGATAAAGGTTAACATAGGAAAAATAAAGGTAAGGTTAGAAAACTAAAAATTAGGTGTAACACTTACGGTAGTAGAAGAGATGGGTCGGCATACGGGGATGGAGGCTGGTTCCGAGGCAGAGGGCAGATGACTGGCCCTCAGGTGAATCACCATTACTAGGTGAATCACCATCACTGTCACTTACAGTTGTCAGGGCTTCCCTGACAAATCCATCAAAGTCATCTTCACTGTCACTATCACTGGCTTGGGCTGGCTGTGGTGGGTTGCGGGCGAAGAACTCGGTTATGCTTTTTTGACGGCTGGTGTTTATGTTGTCTTGATACACCGTGATGTACGGCTCCATAGCCTGCACCAGCCGGGTATGGAAGACTTCATAGCGGTCATCGTCATTGTCGCGGGAAAGGAAGGACTTCATTTTCTCTGCACACTCCATGGCACCCTTAATATCACTATGAGTTAAACTGTGTTCTTCGGAGAATGACGCACCTTCTTCCTCCTCTTCACTGACGTGATCTTCTTCCAACATCTCGTCGGCAGTCACTTCAGGATCTCTGATCACCTCCAGGATGGAATGAAAGAGCTGCTGGGAGGTTTTGGAAAGTTTGTAAATTATTAAAAGTGACTGAAAAGGTAAAATGAATGTTTGGTGCCTTGATGTGGTGATTGAGGGCAAAGGAGAAAGAAGACAGTAAGTGATGTTGAGTGACAGAATTAGGAATTATATTTAAGGGAGAAGAATGGAAAAGATTAATAAAAAACTTGGTTGAGGTTCAGAGAAGTCTCTCTCATAGTAATGTAGAAAATTGTATATTTTACAGTATTGTGCTGTACTCGACTGTACTGTATAGGTATGCTTTTATATACTTAAGAATTTCTTATTCTTGACACAAAAAAATATGATTTCTTGATTAGTTTCCTTTAAAAGAATAATGGTGAATGTGATTTAAAAGAAAAATTAGAAATACTTTAATTCATGCAGTTATGTGAAAGGTGATCATAACTACAGTATACAGCTAATACTGTATAACAAAAGATATGTGCATCCACTCTGAGGCATTTCCTTATTAATTAGGCAATATTTTCTCAACAAGGTTCGACCAAGACATGATGGGAGTGCAGGAAGAGTTACGACATGAACGTGCCAACAAGGAGAAAATCCAGAGGGAGCGAGACCAAATCCTATCTGAGAAATACTCCTTTGAACAAGAAGTATCTGTAAGTACACACTTCTTATTTTGGTTTTCATATTTTAAAAATACAATATTGTAGTTTTTTCCATTGCCATTTAACACAATCCAAGAAACTTATGAAAGGTAAGGAGGGTTACTGTTGTCTTCTTCTTTTTTTCCGGGGAATAGCCCACCCTGGCACAGGTCATCGACCCATAACAGGGCCTGGGGAGGGGGCGAAAAAAAAAGAGTAAAAAGAAATTAAAAGTAGAAAAGAAAAAGATTATATAAATCTACACCACAAAGATGCCCGAAAACCAGCTTTTTGAAGTGAGACATTGTATGAGTATGATTGTTGACTGTATTTTTTAGTGAAGACAAGTAATAACAGATGAATCTAATGTGGGATATGCTGTTCGAGCGTTTTCTGTTAACAAAGCATAGGCAGGCACTGAGAGTCATTGCTGGTATCACCAATAGCCAAGTTTTTGCAGGATGCAAAACATGGGACAGTTTTTCATCAGGGGAGATAGCTTACTTTTAGTGGCAGACTTAACGTGCATACTATACTATTATCTACACACTTTAACTAAATTAATACCCATAAACCACTTGATGTTATACTCTCTTGTAATTTACACATTTTGCTGTTTCCTAGATATCCCTCCCCCACTTTTTAAGTTCATCATTCAACCCCATCCTTCCATCTCCTTGTTTTTCATCCTTTATCCTTCTTGTCATCCAGCTCTAATTATTCAGTACACTCTTGTTACCCAATCATCTCTTTGTTCAAAATTACAGTACAGGTAGTTTGATTTCTACATCTCTTGATTGTTTTATTTCTTAGTGTATATCTGCAGCCTGTTTACTCTAAATATTGCTCCCAAGCACATGATGACTCTAGTTGTTTATTTGCTTCTTTCTCTTGCATCTATACAGTAATCCTTTTTCACGCCTATATAGTGATATTATTGATTGTCAATTATATCTTCATCTATCCATAGAGTTCTGTATCACATAATTTTTTTAACTGTTGATAGACTAGTGTACCATAGACCTTAGATTTTATAGTGCAGTAATAAAATTTTACCATCAACTACCTCATCTCAGCCTTCTTTGACATGGTTCCTTCTCAGTGCACCTATTACTCTTTCCCTTCACTCTTCTGTGCTTCATTTCATCACTCACTGTTTCACTGACTGACACACTCACTCTCAAATGTCTGAAACACTTCACTTCCTCTGTATTGTCCCCATTCAAATAACATTTATTTCTTCTTTCTCCACTTACTGTATTTTCATCACTGTACAGTACTTCTGTTCATATTCATTTAACCTACCTATAGGACACCCAAATTAGCAACTTTTTGCAGTAGTTTCCCAGCAGGTAGAGCAGTGAAACTTTTTGTGTGGGTTTCTGTATGTGGATTCGGGCAAAGTTTACAAAATGTTACAGTACTGCAGAGTACACAGTATTTCTATGATCAGATTGCTTGAAATATTTAATCATTACAGTAAGTTTTCCAATTTTTTGTGACTTTCTGACACCAAATACTAGTCGAGAAGTGATTGGCAGTCCGATTTATTCATCTAGGACCATTATTTGACTTCATTCCGGCTATATTTGGCTACATTTGGGTAATTAGTCGGACCGGTCAAACAATCATATAATGGGAATCAGTGTAAATGGCATTAGTAGTTTGGATTCTCAACTGATATAAGTTTTTATTAACATTTATTTTGTATTTTTGATGTTATTGGTTGGGAAATATGAGCTCAATTGATTATCCCTAAATTAGCTGCAATTTGCATGCTCTATTTCCACTAGTGATGGGCCATTATTGATGGGTGTGGTGAAAGTTCATATGTGATGGTTGTCGAAGAGCTATCTGCATTTTAAAATACAGTATTCACCATATTGGGGATGTACAGTAATCACAGCTGGGTGAACGCCAGTGTTTCTCCCTCTGCAGTACTTTCAATATACATTACAGTATGGGCATTTATATTCTACAAATCATATCAAATAAGGCCATTTTCCTTCACCTTAGATGTGGAAGAAAACCTCATGATAACCACCAATTGTATAAGGGACACAGAAAGAGGTTGAGTGGGATATTTGATTCTGACATTAGAGTGTGGGAAAGTGGAGGTACAGTATATGTGGTGAGACAGGACTGAGAGAAGCGGGTTCCCACGGCCCAACTCCTCCAACATATTGTGCTAGTTTTGTGGGGGTAATTTGGTAATTTTGTCCTCTGCTAGTGTGGTTTCCATTTCCCTTGACCTGTTGATTATTATTACAGTAAAATAGCTGTTGGTGTGATATTACTTTTTTGTGTAGGATGGGGAACAGCGGAAATAAAAGCAGAGGTGCCTACATTCGAATGCTTGTTGCATTATACTTGTATCCATTGTGGTGTCAGAAAGTTAGTAATTATGTGAAGTTGGTATCAAGTGTGATGTTTAGATGTTAGCCCTTCAGTGATGTTAATAACCAGTGTGATGTTACAAAAGTTGCATGGTGTTGATATCGAATGTGAGGGTAGGGTGTTAATGATATCAATAGTGATGTAAGAATATTTACAAATGTTTGATTAAAAATTTTGGGTGTAATAAAGCTGTGGACAGGCAGTCGGTGATCACTGTTAGGCAAGAATGTTATTGACCACTGTTAATAAGTAAAAATGTTGGTGACTACTGTTAGTTAAGAATGTTGGTGACCACTGTTAGGTAAGAATGTTGTGACTACTGTTGAGTAAAATTGTTGGTGACTACTGTTAGTTAAGAATGTTGGTGACCACTGTTAGGTAAGAATGTTGTTGACCACTGTTAATAAGTAAAAATGTTGGTGACTACTGTTAGTTAAGAATGTTGGTAACCACTGTTAGGTAAGAATGTTATTGACCACTGTTAATAAGTAAAAATGTTGGTGACTACTGTTAGTTAAGAATGTTGGTGACCACTGTTAGGTAAGAATGTTGGTGACCACTGTAAGGTAAGAATGTTGTGACCACTGTTGAGTAAGAATGTTGGTAACCACTGTTAGGTAAGAATGTTGGTAACTGCTGTTAGGTAAGAATGTTGTGACCACTGTTGAGTAAGAATGTTGGTAACCACTGTTAGGTAAGAATGTTGATAACCACCGTTACAGTAGGTAAAAATGTTGGTGACCACTGTTACAGTAGGTAAGAATGTTGGTGACCACTGTTAGGTAAGAATGTTGTAACCACTGTTAGGTAAGAATGTTGGTAACCACTGTTGGGTAAGAATGTTGTAACCACTGTTGGGTAAGAATGTTGGTAACCACTTTTAGGTAAGAATGTTGTAACCACTGTTGGGTAAGAATGTTGGTAACCACTGTTAGGTAAGAATGTTGGTGAAAACTGTTAGGTAAGAATATTGGTGACCACTGTTACAGTAGGTAAGAATGTTGATGAACTCTGTTACGGTGGGTAAGAATGTTGGTGACCACTGTTAGGTAAGAATGTTGGTGACCAGTTAGGTAAGAACGTTGGTGACCTCTGTTACAGTAGGGAAGAATGTTGGTGACCACTGTTACAGTAGGTAAGAATGTTGGTGACCACTGTTAGGTAAGAATGTTAGTGACCACTGTTACAGTGGGTAAGAATGTTAATGACCACTGTTACAGTGGGTAAGAATGTTAATGACCACTGTTACAGTGGGTAAGAATGTTAGTGACCACTGTTACAATAGGTAAGAATGTTAGTGACCACTGTTACAGTAGGCAAGAATGTTGGTGACCACTGTTACAGTAGGTAAGAATGTTGGTGACCACTGTTACAATAGGTAAGAATGTTAGTGACCATTGTTACAGTAGGCAAGAATGTCAGTGACCACTGTTACAGTAGGTAAGAATGTTGGTGACCGCTTTTACAGTAGGTAAGAATGTTGGTGACCACTGTTACAGTAGGTAAGAATGTTGGTGACCACTGTTACAGTAGGTAAGAATGTTAGTGACCACTTATAGTAGGCAAGAATGTCAGTGACCACTGTTACAGTAGGTAAGAATGTTGGTGATCACTGTTACAGTGGGTAAGAATGTTAGTGACCACTGTTACAATAGATTTGTTGGTGACCACTGTTACAATAGGTAAGAATGTTGGTGACCACTGTTACAGTGGCTAAGAATGTTGGTGACCACTGTTACAGTGGCTAAGAATGTTGGTGACCACTGTTACAGTGGCTAAGAATGTTGGTGACCACTGTTACAGTGGCTAAGAATGTTGGTGACCACTGTTAGGTAAGAACATAGCGTCACATGGAATGCAATCACCTTTTTAATAGTATAATTTAAGTTCGATGTGTGTGTCTGTGTGTACGCTTGGTGAACACAACCTTATCAGTTAAAACATCTAAGAACTAGAATTCAATTTTTTGTGTTGCTTGCGGCAATTCGAGACTAAGTATGGGTTTTCCTGCGGCGACAGCGACGTCGGACTGAGGTTTTGTGGTTTAGTCAGTTTATTAATAAATCGTAGGTGAGGCATATTTATGACTACGCTTGTTTAAATGTGAACAATACTGTTCATGTTTAATTTGTGAATGGATGGATGATCATCACGAGCATTAATTAAAGCAGACACTGTTGTTGTCCGGGATGGTGTATGGTGAGTGTAGCCACGGCAACAACACACGTGGCCCGTGAATTTAATACAGTCAGGTGAGGAGGTGTGCTGTGTTCGGTGGGCGGTGTGGGTTGACAAGCTGCCCCTCCCGGCCACACTTCCGAAACATTTATGGGTCATAAACCAGAGTTGTATGGTGATTAAATTACCTGTGTATAGCTGTGCTCTACTGCCCCCTGTTTACGACCCAAGTTTGTACTCTTATTTATAACCCACCGCTCTTGCGTAACCGATAGTCGTGCTGGATCATATATCACCTGTCGAATGAGGTTGCAATCAGATACGTAGAGCTTTATGTAATACAGTATTGTACATTGTTAGGCTGAAATAGACGTAAATCCGTGCTCGGCTGCTGTTAAGAATTATTCAGGAGTATAGTGTTATTTAAATGCGATACA